TACATTTAATCTCATCCAGATTTGTTTTTATAAATTTAAATGGAATTTTAACAAAATACAAACAAACGTTTCTTTTGAGGTAATCAAATTCCATGCATAAAACCTTTGCCTTGTTCAAAGTCTAATTCAAGAGGCAAGCTCTTCAACAGTAATTTTAAAACGTACAAAAAAAAGAAGCAACTTCTAATGTCCGCAACTCATCGAGTATTTGTTTTTAACTTCTAGTTGAAATCAGAGACAGTCAATGAGGTTTTATGCAGTGAAAGATTTTGGAATTCAGCATACAAACATAACGATTACATCAGAGATCAAAAAGCAGCACTAAGATCAATATTTATAAAGTAACAGCAATTAAGCATAAGTTTTTAGTTTACAAACGAACACTTAATAAACTGTTACAAATAAAAGTGTAAAAATCGATTTATAAAAAATTTGTCAAAAACAATGACTGAAAGACAAAACGAGTTTAACAACTTTCCTAACAAATCATCAGTTGTTATGTAAAGAGGACATAACATTAGTGTGAAGAAAGTGTTGATACACTTTGAACTTTCCAGTCACTGTAAAAGTGTATGGTTAGACAACAGCAGCGATTGCTACAAATGCGTAACTGAAGTAGCCACAAATTTGTAAGTGATATTACAAAAACAGATGTTTTTGAATAAAAAGCTGACCTTACATTGTCCAACCTAAAAGTAATTTATTCTTGATTTATCAGTACTATCATTACATCAGTAAACGATGAAAATCATTTGTTGGCTACGTTGACGAGCAGATCAGATACCGCAGTTGAAGAGGCACAGTTATACTATTCGAATATTCGGCAGAAAGTACGCGAACAATTCACAAGCAAAAACTGAGTACACTGTAGCAGATAAAAATATAAAAAATTAAATGATATAAAGTTGCGAACGAGTAGAAAACAAATTTAGTACAAAAATTTTTTCTGCTGTATTTGCAGTATTTAAACTGAACAGTATCAACAGCAATTTTAAATAAAGCATCTTTAAATTTTTTTAGATTATTACTCAATTAAAAAATTTTGTCTTTAGGCCAATACTCTTTTTTTTTTGCTATTTTATCATCAGCATGTACTAACATTTCTAGCAAAAACGATGAAAAATTGTAGCTGTTGAAAACCAAACTCAAAGACTTTGACTTTTCTGAAATGTAACTTTTCAATTTTTTTAAAAATTTTTATTTTTGACACTGTGAAGGATTATTAGAGCAAAACCCCCGAGTCTGCGACTGTGTGCAACTGCTTTGGTCAAGAATAAAACTATTGCGAGCATGAAACCAGGTTATTAAAGCTTTTAAACTGTTGAGAACAATGTAACGAACAGAAAAT